TCTAAACCACCAGATATACGGTTTGCTCCAAATGTGTCGTAAGGAAATGGAACAAAAGGATTTCCATTTAATTAGTAACAATAGGTTCATCGTGTTTCACATTTTTAATCCCGCAAGGGATTGCGCCAACAGCTTTTTTTCCATCATCTTCATCATCCATATCCAATAAATTTGACTTATTTTCATCGTTCGTATCCATTGAACTTGATTCATTTTCATCATCACTACTTTTTTGAAAAAATATTTTTCGAGTAACATTATATTTTTCTTCATATTTTTCATCATCACTACAATTTTGAAAAAACAGTTTTTGAATAACCTTATATTGTTCTTCATGTTCTTTATATTTTGGATCATATGTAAATGCAGCTAAACAAAAAGACAAAGAATAAATTAAATATTTTATTGAATATGAATCATACCAAGGAATGGTACAGGTTCACCGCATTCTAATGGAATCATATGTGTACATTGATAATTTTCATGCACAAAATTAAGACCTGTTGAAATAGCCGGATTTTCTTTAAATTTATCTTTTTGTAAAACAAATAAAGCTTCAATCATATTTTGTGTACGTTCGTTTGATGATATTTTAAGTAGATCTTTGAATGTTGAAAATATAGAATTTAATCCACGTGGATTAACTTGAGATAATTTTTGTCCACATTCTTTTACGAATTCAATCGCTAATTCAACATCATCATCAGATGGATTGTGGAGTAAAAAAAGTAATAACTGTAATGCAATTATTTCATGTAACTAAATAGAAAAAGAAAAGGAGGAAATATTCTTTTATCTATTTAATAATACATACCACATTTTGATTAACTAAATGTGCGACAAATTTTATTGTTGATAAGCATTTGGCTATTTCATTACTTTTATATTGTCGACGAAACGATGATATTAGTCGTTGGCCGATTAATATACCAACTGGTTCTATCCATAGATTGATAACCGACACTAATGCAGCATATACAGATGTATGACCAGGTAATGCTGCTTGTGCTTTTATTACACTTCGAGTAAACAAACCAGTACCATGAACAATGTTCTGTTTAAATAATTGTTTGAGAATCGAGCATATGTTTGTCTGATTTGCTTCATTAACAAGACGATTAATTTCGTTCTTTAAAGCATTCCATTGTTTACGTTGATATTCGACAGATGTTTCAGCAATGGATGATGCCTAAAAGAAGAACAAAAGGATAGAAATATATTTTAATGATTTGTACTAATCATACCTCTAATGGATGAAGATTAACTCGTGACATATTGTGAATGGACGTGTTGCTTGAATATAGAAAATAACCCTTGTTTATGTCTTTTCGTGTATATATATATCCACGAGAGAAGAGAGATCAAGGGATCGACATAAGCTACATTTGCACTCTACATTCAAAAGTGTATGTAGTTTGTCCTTGCGTTTTGCACCAATCAAGTTACGTTCCATGTCTAACTCGTTCCTATCCATCTTCTGATGATAATGTGAATGTGTGGTATACTGCCAGAGGGGTTGATAACTTGACCATCATTTGATGACATCTTTTTCTTTTCTTCTATTTTGTCGCTGCTGTCAACTCTATTCTATGATTTTAATATGTAATTTTTATTTGTTAATATATTCTCAAACAAATATTCATCACTTCTATGTCAAACATATTGATGAGAAGAACTCTTTTTAATATCTAATATTTTTTCTTGTATAATAATGTCAAAATCAACAAGTCATTCACGTTTATCATCAACAGCTACAACACCTGATTTAGATATAAATAATATTCAATTACAAAATTTAATAGATTTTCGTAATCAAACAAATATAAATGATAAACGTTCGAATAATGTGAATTATGTTCGACATGTATTACGAAAATTTTTTGGTGGTTATATTAAAAAATCCACATCGATAAATTCAACAATTAGTGATGACAATCTTAATGATCAAATATTAACAATAAATAATATTAATGATAATTTAATATTACCAATATTAATTCCTGCATGTTTACAATTTAATAAACATGAAAAATTTTCTGGTAGAATATTAAACAAAATTTTATTTCAATGAAAAATAAATATATATATGTAAATATTTAGGTGAATTATTACTTGATTGGTTTTTAGTTCATTTTGAAAACCGTTATGAAGATTTAACATTAATTAAACAAGTAATTTTACAATGTTGTACATGTCTACTTGGTCTTGATGTACTTCGAATAGAAAATAACCAAGATAATGATTTATTTCAAGTATGTGAAGGATTTCAATGTTTCCTTCTTTTTTGAAGGGACTGATTGCTTTTTCGTTTAGGGAGAAAAGCAATAGGAAGTTAATCTCAGTTGGTTTTCTTTTCTCAGACACAAGGGAAATATAATTCATATATACATAAAACCATGTCTGAGTTTAATTATTTATTCTCGTATTCTTCTCAGTGCTTATGATCTATCTTTTTTTTTTATGTGATATTGTTTTTAAGACAAAAATAACGAAATATTAAGGATAATCATCTTAATTGGAAACAGTTTTATTCGTTTGTATATTATCGAACGATCATGAATGGAAGAAGGTGTAAAAAACCTTGTCATATGACGAAGGTAATCAATTGTATTGTGTATATATGGATAAGGTAGAGGTAAAAAAGTGTGAGAAACCATCATTCGTCTTTGTATATGGATGTAAAAATCGTCAATGATATCGACATAATTGGACACGATATGATACGTTTTTGATGTGTGAATGACATAAATTGTTTGACAAACACATTTTTCTTTTCCTATAACGTTATTCTTCAAGTTGAAAGTGTGGATAGGCGCGCGCGCATTCAAATAACCTGTCCGAATTGAATTAGATATCATTATTTATCATCTCACCTCGTTTTAGAACGTTATTATCGCTCTGTTTGTATAATAGTAGATATCATCTTTCTTTTTTTCTTTCATTCATTTTCTATACATATTCACACAATTATAGACATCAATTTCTTTTCTTTTCTTTTTTTTTTTTTTTTTTTTTGGGAAAAAAAAGAAACATACAAGGTTAATAATCTGCATTAATTCAAGTTTCTTTTCGTATTGAATCAATATATATTTATAGTTGTTGTTGTGACTAGTTTTTACCTTGAATAGAACGAGTAATAACCTTGATGTTCAACATATCCATTCTCAATTAAACTACATACAAGTCTGACAAACTTTTGCCATTGAAGATATCCATCGACGTTAATGTTCGACAGCTATAGTTATATGTTAAATGTTGTCTATGCATTTAGTTCAATTAAACAGGCTCAAGCATGGTAAAAATTATAAGAAATAATTACGAAGAATATTGAAAACAGAAAAAGCAAAAAGAAGAAAGACAAAACGAATACGATTCATCGATAAAAATTTATTTCTTTGTACTAATCGAAGTGTCATCATATTATCGTTAAGGAATATGTTAATCATGTTTATCTTATCGGAATTGTACTGATATTTTCTTGAATGTTTATTGAAGATGTTTTTGATCGTTTTTTATCGATGTAGATTTGTCGAATAATCATTTGACATGTACATATACAAAAGAAACAACCAAGAAAAAATAAAAGTATAAATTTAGCAAAAATAAGTCGATGAGTTGAAATATAAGATTTACTAAAATGAAAATATTCATTATTTGTTTCTTGTAATATATTTGTTGAATTAATTGTTTCAATTAATGTACGACTTGTTATTGGAGAATAGATTGAAACGAATATAATGATGATAAACATGATTATCATGAGATTTTCTTTCAAACAACTGAATGTCATATTTTAATTTATCAAGTAGTGCCTCATTGATATTTGTTGTTGTCTATTCTGAAAATGTCTTTCGTCTTCTTTTCGAATCATGTTAAATGTCATCATGAATATTAATGGTCAATAATTTCTTTTCTAATTTTTATCTAGGCACAAAATTTATATTCATGGACAAATAATAATTTAGAAAATGACGATACAGATATTAGATTATCATCATCAACAATCACCAATGATTGTGAGTTTTATGTCTTGTGAACATATATGTTTGATATATTGTTTCTCATTGTAATGATGATGGTGTAAGGTGTGAAGCTTTCTGTCTTCATGTCATGTGTCAAGGATGTTAAATCGATATCGTTCTGTGTTCTAGTCAGTAAAGTGTGACTGAAGAAGCGAATGAGGCAAGCAAACAGGTATCATTGTCGATTGCTCTTTTGGTACGTTTGTAACATAGTATTCTATCATTTATATCTCTTATTGATCTGTTCATTTTTCTCTCTGCCTTCATTTTCATACTAATCAATAGAGAATATCAATCTCTTTCGCTTTTCTATCAATATACTCACAAATATGAACAAAAAATTGAGACCTTCATATATAAAACGTATATATTCTTTTTTTTTAATAGTTAATCATCATCTGATCGAAAGTAAAGAATATAAATATAAACCATCGACAGCTACAACCATTTTGGATATTCTTAGAGTATGTTATATAAAATGATATCTATATCATGTATATATATATATTTGTTATTAATTTTATCTTTAGAGTGAATATAATTTTCATTCTGATGTGCAACATATAGAAACCAATTCTGTATCGACACAAGTTGATCTTATAAATAATATAAAAACAATTGAAGAATCTATACAAACAGATTCAACTATTATTTCTTCCAATCAGGTAATCGAGAAAAAAAAAACTTTTCTTATTTTTTTTCTAAACTCATAATTTAGACATGTTTAATTCCTAATTTCGATCAAATGTCATCGTTTATTGTATCAAAAACTGATTCGAATAGTAAACCATCATCACCGATATTACATCGTATTGATGAGAGTACTGTTCGACAAGCTATGCAAAAATTATTTTTACATGATAATTTAAACGATCCATTGTCGCCCGGTGTTGATGACGATGTTCATTCACCTGTTTCATCTTCAAATTCATTTAAAACTAATCATGCAAAATTTTCAAGTAATTCAAAAATCGATCTTTTTTTTTTGTTTTCATTTTTTTTTATAAGATATGATGGTTTTCTTTTCGGTTTAGGTGAATTATTATTGGAATGGATAACACTTAATTCTGATGCAAGAAATTCTAATACACAAGCATTAGTAGAACAAGTTCAATCATGTTTACAGCCAAATAGTAACATCAATTCAAATCATAAGGAACTGAAAAAAGTAAATAAATAGTTCTTGACAAGAATAAGTGTTTTTTTTTTGAAAACTGAATGGAAATGTTGAGTTAGAGTTTCATTAGCAATAATAGACTAAATACAAGATATTCTAAGTCAAAAAATATAAAAAAATAAAAGTCTTGAATAGGTTATTATTGTATACTTAGGATTCTATGTAAAGATTTATCGTCAATATTTAGGTATTAACTTCACCTGTATTAACAAATCGAACTAAATCACAATTATCATCACATAACAAACAATTTACATTACTTCCATCATCTTCTTTTGCATTTGATCATAAAATCAATGATGATATACGCTCGCTTCTATTAGATCTTATTATCGAAATTGATAAAAAGTCAGCAGAAGCATTATCATTTATGTTAGTGTAATTTGAACATTCGAAACAAAGATGATCAGTTTTTTATTACAGATCAAGTGTTCCACTACCACCTCCTCCACCGCCATTTATTGCTTCTGGCATGCTACCACCACCACCACCACCACTACCATCAATAATGGGTCCTGGTATTCCTCCACCTCCACCTCCGATGATGCCAGGATTTGGTGGTAAACAAAAAAATTTTGTAAATCATTTGTTAATAACTTAATTTAAATTTTAGCTCCTCCACAATTACCACAATATCTGTGTAAGAAACAAAAATATTCTGTTACAGAGCCAGTAAAAAAGGTTCAATGGAGTAAAGTTAGTATGTCTTTGTTTTAATTTTCTGTCTCATTGATTATCTAATTTTTCAGGTCAATCCATATACAATTAAAAAAGATTCGATTTGGGTTAATGTTGATGAAGCAAAATATGTTAATGATACACTTTTTTCTGATATAAGAAAAAATTTTGCAAGCAAAATAGCTCCAAGTATATCAATAATTATTATATTCTCTTTCATTAGAATTACAAAGTGTATTCTAGGTCGACAACCAATTAATGATCTTGTTGATAAATCTAAAGAATTACGTGTACTCGATGCTAAAGCTGCGCAAAATTTCGGTAGTGTTTTTTTTTTAAATTTTATTTTAATAATAAATTCATTTGTTATGTTTTAGCAATCATGTTTAGTCAATTA